ACTAGCCTTCCGTTGACATTCTGTCACCGACTGTATTCGTTGGTACCAATGGCTTCTCATCTTCAATCACGTATCAAACGTCCATATGAACAAGCAAAACCTCCATCTTCAACTTCTATAACTCAAACCCCTTTCCTCTGAACTTTTCAACCTCAACCTGTGATTGTCCCATCGACATCTTTTCCAGATCAATTTCATAGTTTCCTTTATACCAAGAAAAAACCCAAATTATAAAACCCCAATCTGTCATATGAACCCTGGTCGCAGAACCAAAGCTCTTGATCCCAAATGTTAAAAATCGACACACACACAAATCGAAAAATACAAAAGAGAAAGGGAAGAGAACAATCGACACAATTATTTACCCTGGTTTACCCAATGTAGGTTACGTCCAGTTTGTCTATACTATATTTACCTCACCGTCACTCGTTACAAGTCACTCGATTTACAAGGAATATAAATAAGATTTAAAAAATTCTAACAACAGTTATTCGTTGGTTCAACAGCATGTGAAATATGAGTCATGTCCAACACTAGCTCGTATCTTAAAAAGTGCATCAATTGTTGATCTTTTTAAGGTAGACTAAGGAATTAGAAACTTTTAAAATGAAAAAAATGGTTAATGAGTTAAAAGAATTAGTTATTGGTTAATTTTTGTAACCATAAATTTCAGAAGATATATTAGTCTACCTATCTTTTTTCATACTTATTTTTCTTCAACACCGTTAGATTAGAATCTCAACTAACATTTATTATTTATCTCTCCTCTTAAGATTATGATCTAACGGTATTGAAGATTGATAAGTAAGATAGGCATGAAAAAAAGATAGCCACAATATCATATCCCAAATTTCAGAACAAAAAACTTGGATTAAGTAATAATTGAAGTTACGTTGGATATGAGATGAGTGAAATCATTATCGATCTCAACACTTTCCCTTAGCATTATAAACACTAAATTTTTATTTTTGTTAAAAAAAAACTTGTTGATAATTTGTATCGTTGTTTATTTCTTCTTTTGTCATTTTTTATAACATATTCTTTTGTCATTTATTAAAAATCTGCTTTCATCCATTATATTTTCCATTCAAATAGAGTTAAAATAGTAATCCCATATCATATTCGGGTTATGTTAGGGTATCTTGTTAAAAATTGTCACCTTAATAAAAATGCAACTTTTCAAAATTTCAACAAAACGGACAATCCTAAGATATTGTTAGGAAATCTGGAAGACAGAGAAGAAACTCTATTCGGTTGAAGGATTTTGTAGCTTAGGAGTATTAGTCTATTGTAACAGGAAATAAACCCATAAACGGTGGTAGCTTTGTATTAGAAGTAGTTGAATTGAATTACTGACACCTGTCCGTTGACGTGTCATATAAATAGTCGATGTAACGAACTTAGTTGGTTCTTAACTTTGGAATAACTTGTCATTCAGTTCTCCCTCTTGTTCTCTCTTTATCAGATTAGGGGTCATACCCTAACAGCGGTGCTTTCATCCTTGAATTCTCCACCTTTTCTTCTTCTTTTCATTTTGTTGATGAACACAATGAGGATCCAAGATTTATCGGAAGAGTTGCAATCGTTCAAGCAATGTGTTGACACAAATTTGGAGGACACCAAGAATCAGATTTCGTTGTTAGCTTCCGACACCAAGAATCAGATTTCGTTGTTGGTGACACAAATGCAACAATTGCATGAGGAATTTCTCGCGCGACCGATGCATTGCAGAGGAACTCCAAGTTCCCATTCTCATGCCAATCCTGAAACCTCTTCGTCGGATCTAGGTCCTCGACACCATGATGGTTTGGATCAGTGGTCTCTTCTCAAGGGGTGCGCATGGAAACCCTCATTTTCAATGGCACAGATCCAAACAATTGGATCTTTAAAGCTGAACTTTTCTTTTCGTCTTCAACATATTCCCGAAGATTCAAAGGTTCCTTTGGCTGAGATTCGTATGGAGGGAATGGCGACAGCATGGTTTCAATGGATGTTCTAGAGTGGCACCATTGGTACCTGGAGCTCTTTCACGATGGCAATGCGTCAGCGCTTTGGGTCTTCAGCATTTGTCAAACTTAAGGGCACACTGTCCAAATTGACGCAGACATCAACCCTTAGGGACTACATCCAACGTTTTGAGTCTCTGGTCAATCAAGTTCCAGATCTTGATGAAGGTCTCCTCAAGGATTTTTTTTGTTTCTGGACTTCAATCAGAATTACGAAGTGTTGTTCAATTAAGAGATCCCTCTACTCTCCATCAGGCGTTGCAGTTGGCGTTAGCATATGATGATCATCACGGTGAGCTTAGATCTTCCTTCTCTACTTCTTCACAAAAGTTTATACCCAGAAACATTTCCCTTGTTGATATTACCTCCAAACAGACTTCAACTTCTGTACTGACCCACAACCAACCCTTAGCCTTACCATCACCACCATCAAAATTCAAACGATTTACACATGATGATTTACAAAAGAAACGTGATTTGGGGATTTGCTATACATGCGATGAGAAATGGACAAAACAACATATCTGCAAAAATAAGTTCATGATGCTCTTAACTGAGGATGCTGAGGATCAAGAGGCTGCTCATGAAGACCAATTAATTTGGCAGTCTGATCAAGTTGTGCTTGAAACCACTGATGCAGCCCTTAACACATTATCCCTCAAAGAGCATCAACATTTACTCAAATTTGTCACTTCCTTGAAGGGCAGTGTTATTTCTGTCATGGTGGATTCGGGCAGCACACAAAATTTTATACAGAAGCAACTAGCCTTGCAGTTGGACTTGCCAATGGTTCACACGCGGAAAATACGTGTGTTCCTTGGTAACGGTGAGTTTCTTGTGGCTGATCGAAAATGTTTACAAGTTCCCATTAAATTGCAAGATGTTCTTTTCCATGTTGATTTTTGGTTAATTGAGTTATCTGATTTGCATGTCGTCTTGGGAATGCCATGGCTGGAGCTTCAGGGTCGAGTCACTCATGATTACAATAAGATGACTATGGAAATTTGTTGGAAGGGGCACAATGTGGTGTTGCAAGGTTTACAGGCTTCCTCATTCCATGAAGCACAGGCTGACAACACTTGTGCTACTTGCTGCTCAATGCAATTGTTATCTGGACAACCTTCCACAAGCTCACTTAACTCTGATGTAGCAGAATTGGAATCCTCTGTTAGGCCAGAATTGTGGCAGGTCATTTTACTCCATCAGAGGGTGTTCACTGTTCCTTCTGAATTACCTCCTTTCTGTGGCTTAGACCACTTCATCCATCTCTTAGAAGGTACCAGGCCTATCAATGTCAAACCGTATCGATATGCATACTTCTAGAAGTCAGAAATTGAGAAACAAGTGGCTGATTTGTTGAAATCTGGGCTCATTCAGCATTCCCAAAGCTTATATTCATCACCAGTTCTTTTGGTCAGGAAATAGGACAACACTTGGAGGATGTGCATTGATTATAGGTCCTTAAATGCTGCTACTATCAAGGATAGGTTTCCCATTCCCACCATCGATGAGTTGCTTGATGAATTGGGAGGATCTATGATTTACACTAAGCTGGACCTTAGAGTTGGGTATCACCAGATAATGATGTTACCAGCTGATGTGTCAAAAACTGCATTTAGGACTCATGAAGGCCATTATGAGTTCCTAGTTATGCCATTTGGCTTGACAAATGCACCAACCACATTTCAAGCAGCTATGAATCATATTTTCAAGCCCTTCCTTCGAAGATTCATCATTGTTTTCTTTGATGACATATTAATATTTAGCAAAACACTTGAAGGCCATGTCCAGCACTTGGGTACCACCTTATCATGTCTGCAACATCATAAATTTTTTGTGAAGATTAGCAAATGTGCATTTGGGGTTGACACCATTGACTATTTGGGCCATGTGGTTTCTAAGGATGGAGTGTTTGCAGATCCAAAGAAGATACAAGCCATGGTTCAATGGCCAGAACCCCGGTCCCTTAAGCAGCTTCGTGGCTTCTTAGGCCTCACGAGCTACTACCATAGATTTGTTCAAGGATATGCATCAATAACATTACCTTTAACTGATTTATTGAAAAGCTCTACTAACTTTAGTTGGAATGATGCTGCAACAAGTGCTTTTTGTAAGCTCAAGGAGGTTATGACTTCCACTCCTGTCTTAGTCCTTCCAAATTTCTCTGAGCAGTTTGTTGTGGAAACTGATGCATCCAACAGTGGCGTAGGAGCTGTCCTCTTGCAGAACAACAGGCCACTCTCATTTTTTAGCAAAAAAATGGGACCTCGATTGGCAAAGTCTTCCACTTATGTGCGTGAATTGTATGCTATCACTGCTGCAGTCAAACGGTGGAGGCAGTATCTTCTTGGTACAGATTTTGTTATACAAAATCTGTGACCCGGTGGGTTCCCCGGTCCGAGCGGGTAGTTAGACCGGTTATGCAGTCAGCCCAGATTAGACCGGTTGACCCGGCCGAAACCCGGCGACTCGGGTTAAACCGGTTTTTCCTTTCTTTTTTTTTCTTTTTTTGGTAAACTTTTTTTTTATTTGATAAGAACTCTTGAATTAAATCATATTCATATTTTATGATGAATATGATTAAAAGTAAGGTGAAAATAATAAGGTATTTTAGATTAGTATAGTTCGTTTATGTAATTTAGTTGCATCTTATAATGATCTCATGAAGTTAAGTGGCGATAAACACTGATGGTCTCATGATCTCATCTCGACGGTCTAGAGCTAGAAGCTTAGAAGTATATAATATTTGCTATCATTGAAAACCAATTTATTTTTTGAAGCTCATAGATAGTTTTCTTATGTGAATTTTTATTAATATAAGTAATATTTTTATATTTTTAATATGTGAACAGTAAAACCGGTTGAACCTAGTTGAACCAGTGACCCAGTATCTCGACCGGTTCGATGACCGGTCCGAGTTTTAAAAGACTGCTTTCAAATGCTAAGATAAATACATGAACAAGTAGCGAAACATTTCACACATTGTTACTTCAAATGTATTTCACACTTAGCTACAAACTTTTAAAATAATTAAAAAGCTCAAATGTAATTCATACTTAAACTCCCAACTTTAAAAAGCCTTAATTTTGCGTAGACTACTTCAATCGCTTCAGCAGGACCATGAATACCACTATCAAAGCCAATCCCAATAAGTTTCCAGCTTTGGAACTTCCATCAGCATCAGCAAACGGATTCTTTTTCTCAAGTGTTGCAAATATGTTCTGAAGGTAATTTAACAAGCTGCTTATTTTTTCAGTAACTGTATGCATCATATTCTTAAGAGGACGCATTTTAGCAGAAAATGTTTTAATAACTCTACGCTTTAAATTCTTCCAGAGACACATTAAAAAACCTTCTCCGGAGAGAGAAACCGCTTCCACATTTTCGGGAGTTTCCACCGCATCAGAAGCATCAACTGCATGTCCACCTAAAAAATTGTTTCTAGTATGTGTTCACTCAGAAAGATTTAAGCATAAGAAAATTATTCACCTCTAACCTATGTCACAAAACACCTTAAAAGTAATGAAAGATGGCCAACGAAACAGAATATTGACAAATGATATATAGTGCCAATGAAGAAAATAAGCGAATTAGTAAGTCACTATTCTAAAGATCATGTTCTTAAGACGAGAAAATGCGATTCAATAAATGATAATATTAAGATAATAGAAATTTGTTCCATTTTAAGATTAAAGCATACTACAAACCAAGTGACTTACAAAAAAAAAAAAAACTCATTGATAAGAAAATGATATTTTATTAAGAGTAAAGTCCCTTTTGGATCTTTAACAAAAAACACAGTCTCCATTTTAGTCCCTGTCAAAAGCAGACTCATTTAGTTGAAACCGTGGTTCCTCAAAAATGCAAAAAAGACCCACATTAGACTTTCAAAAGAACAAAAATTGATCCACTTTGAATTTTATAGGAACCACCAAAAAACTAATTTTTTTTGGTTTCATAGGAAACAGATGACTAAATTTTTTTTGGTAAAAAACTAAAGTGAGAAAAATGTTTTTTGTTAGGGACCCAAAAGAGGTACACCGCCCCACAACTTAAGATATTAAACCATTGTTGATTATTTAGTACATTTGTTTTGAATAAGACAAGAATTTGACGTTAATTTATTTATATGTTTATTCTTAATTTAATTTCACATAGTCTAATGGAGCATATTTTGATTACAAAATAATCAAGACATTCTGAATTATTGATGAATAAATTGTGAACTGTTTGTTTGTGGGTTTATGTTGATATATATAACATTAATTTAACGAGGCATCTAAGCTCAACCGGAGTTCACAATTTATTTTTCAATAACTCAGCCTCCTTAGAAGGTGCATGAAATCGAGAGAGGGGGGGGGGGGGGGGGGGGAACCTTTTTCCGAATCAGACGCAGCTTCCTCTTTTTCAAATGTTTCCACAGCTTCACTAGATGCATAGCAAGCTTCATCATTTTCAGAAGGTGCAGCCAAGTTTGTTAATTCTTCTACTACAGTACAATTAGCATTAAGCTTCAGTCTACAAGATAAAAAATTTAATTAAAAAAGCGCAAAAAAATAACAGACCCACTAAATAACCACTACCTGTCTGGCAAGATTGGCAGTAATTATTAAACACAGGATTTTGCATGACTCCATTCCATATATTCTGGTCAGACACAAGGGAAGCCACGACATTCTTGTTGAAACAAAAGACATGTAAATTCTATTAATTTGATAAGCCTTGATCTAATAATCAATTTTAGATATTGCACAGAACATGATTGCTAAAAATAAACTTTTACTATTGAGTAGCTCTCATTGGGAGATAAAATCATCATCAAGTACCTGGGCCATAGCACTTGTACTCAGCAATTGAAAAGCTACTGGAACTGGAGGATTGGATGAGCCATCACATTGAGATGAGACGGAAGAAAAGTATATTCTGAAAAGAGATAAATATAATCTTAGGAAAGAGTTAACTATCAGCAAATCGAAAATAATCCACAACATTTTTGTGTGTGTCTGAGCAATCATCTTTATACAGAAACATGCAGTAAGTCTCAAATATTTAAAAATAAAATAAAATAACAATTGTTACCCATTATCTCACCCTGCCCCCAAGGTAGAAAATAAAAATAATAAAACTCCATCCAGCAATGACTTCTTCATGACCAAAAATAAATACTCAATGTACTATAATAAAAATAAATAAATAAATACTCAGATAGAACTGACAGATAATGAATAAGTCAATTTCCAACACTTCCAAAACCTTCGTCATCGTCCAAATTTACCTAGATAATTATTTCTTGGAACAAGGTTAAAATAAACAATTTAACATTTTTAAAGAGAAAACACACAGAAAAACAAAAGAGCTTATGGGTGAGAGAGAAAAACTCCGAGAATACCCATCCCGTGTAAATTACACAACCGCGATGGAAACTAAAATAGCTTATTTTCAATCAGAAATACGTTTCCATCTTAAAATAAAAAATGAAGAAGAATTCGTTTGCAAATTTTTTTTTACAAACTAAACTAAGTAGATCGATTATACACTCTTGATTAAAGTATGACGTATGACCGGTCAGACATAGGGTAGTTTATAAGAATTTGTAAATAAAGAAATTATAAATATAACATTCCCCATTAAAAATATCCACTTTCTTATTTATTGATAGTGTGCTAGTGGGAAATATCTTTGATGCTAAAGATGCACCATATACTCAGTGTATCTTTCACTAATATTATAACACGTGTCTTACTTTTGTCAAATCAATAATAAATAATTTATTTTTAAATGAGATATGTTATTCTACCAATATTTTTTCTGCCTACCACTCTTCATCACTGTTAAATCAGAATCTTAACTAACACTTATCTTTCTCTATCTTTTTTAGATTATGATGTAACAATGTTGGTGAATGGTAGGCAAAGGTAGATAGAAAAAATAGTAGGGAGAATAACTTATCTCTTTTAAAGTTAAGAGAGAAAACGATTTGATATAAAATAAGACACATGTCAGAATATGAGCAGAAGATGCACTGAATTTTCAGTTAGGAATAAATCTTTGGTATACTGTTACATCAAAGATTCAATACATCTCACAAATAAGAACATTACATGTCAGTTAAAATTATCTTTTTTATGTCAAATTTTTTCTATCTCCTCTGATATATAATGCTCTCGTTATGAGATGGACTGAATCTAAGAACAACGGTAACAAAAGTAAAGATTTATTGGGAGATATATAGTACCAAAGATATTCTGGTGGGCTATTGAAACTCGTTAAAAACCCTTTAACAATTTAAGCTCACTACAGTATAAAAAAGAAATCCTGGAACATCCGGGCACTGAAAACCGTAAAATCAAAAAGAAGACTTAAGATTGAAAATAAAATCCCAAAAAATTTTAAAAAAAAATAGAAATTTCCGATATAATAATTAGCAACCAAATTTTAAATTTAAAAGAACAAAAACAATATATACTCATCAATAGCGCCTTTCAATTCGTTTGTCGCGTCTTTGGCTTCCTTAATGGTGGGCACAGCGCCGAACACAACTCTCGGCATTGGCTCACCGGCCGCCATGACCAAAACGCCGTCGCCGGCGAAATCCCAGTCGTCTGTTTGCAGCGGCGCCACCACGGCGGTTTTAGCTGAGACCCCTGCAGCCGACACCACCGCTGGCGCGCCCCTTGAGCCCAACCTGGCTATGCTGGCGGAGCAATCGTTCAGCATGTTAGAGATTCCGGCAACGTTCGCCAGCGTCTTCATAACTCCTCCGCCACCCATATCGGGTCACTCACTCGTTCGCTTAGTTTACAAGTTGAGTAGGTCTCAAGTTCAAGTATTTAAGCGTGTTCGTTGTTGGGTCATATTAAAAGCGCTCAATCCCGTTACTATGCAATATACATTGGAAAGTTTGAAAAAACTTAATTATGTTAGTTCCCATGAAGTTGAAATACGTGAAGTCTCTTCGTTTTCTACAATGCCATTTTAAAAAATTAAACTTACTCATTAATAAAGGTTATCATATATCATATAATACTCTCGTAAATACTAATTCGATCGGTCCTCATACATGCAATTCAAGTCATAGTAACTGTTATTTATGAAGTTATTCGGTGGAAATTGAATTAATTTGATTCAACTAAGCACAAATTCATTAACCACTACTAGAAAAGTCTTTATTATCGACGGAATTTTTCGACGGAAAATATTTCCGTTGAAAGTATTGACGGAATTTTCCACGGAATCTGTTTTCCGTCGAAAATTTCGACGGAAAATAGATTCAGTCGAAAGTTTTCGACGGAAAAAGAAATTTCGTCGAAGATTTTTGACAGAAAAGGAATTACGTCGAAAACTCTTGAAAAAAAAAAAAAAAAGAAATTAAATAGGGTAAACTTTTCGACGGAATTTCGATTCCGTCGAAAATCTTTAAAAAAATAATTGAAAAAGAAAATAAATATTGTGAATTTTTCGACGGAATTTCGATTCCGTCGAAGATTTTTGACGGAAAAGCAATTCCGTCGAAAAACTCTTGAAAAAAAAATAAATATTGTGAATTTTTCGACGGAATTTCAATTCCGTCGAAGATTTTTAAAAAAATAATTGAAAAAGAAAATAAATAATGTGAATTTTTCGACGGAATTTCGATTCCGTCGAAGATTTTCGACGGAAAAGCAATTCCGTCGAAAAACTCTTGAAAAAAATAATTGAAAAAGAAAATAAATATTGTGAATTTTTCGACGGAAAAGAAATTCCGTCGAAAAACTCTTCAAAAAAATAAAAAAGAAAGAAATTAAATATGGTTAACTTTTCGACGGAATTGAAATTCCGTCGAAAATCTTTAAAAAAATAATTGAAAAAGAAAATAAATTTTGTGAATTTTTCGACGGAAAAGCAATTCCGTCGAAAAACTCTTCAAAAAAATAAAAAAGAAAGAAATTAAATATGGTTAACTTTTCGACGGAATTTCGATTCCGTCGAAAATCTTTAAAAAAATAATTGAAAAAGAAAATAAATATTGTGAATTTTTCGACGGAAAAGCAATTCCGTCGAAAAACACTTCAAAAAAATAAAAAAGAAAGAAATTAAATATGGTTAACTTTTTGACGGAATTTCGATTCCGTCGAAAATCTTTAAAAAAATATTTGAAAAAGAAAATAAATATTGTGAATTTTTCGACGGAATTTCGATTCCGTCGAAGATTTTCGACTGAAAAGTAATTCCGTCGAAAAACTCTTGAAAAAAATAATTGAAAAAGAAAATAAATATTGTGAATTTTTCGATGGAATTTCGATTCCGTTGAAGATTTTCGACGGAAAAGCATTTCCGTCGAAAAACTCTTCAAAAAAATAATTGAAAAAGAAAATAAATATTGTGAATTTTTCGACGGAATTTCGATTCCGTCGAAGATTTTCGACGGAAAAGCAATTCCGTCGAAAAACTCTTGAAAAAAATTATTGAAAAAGAAAATAAATATTGTGAATTTTTCGACGGAAAAGCAATTCCGTCGAAAAACTCTTCAAAAAAATAAAAAAGAAAGAAATTAAATATTGTTAACTTTTCGACGGAATTGAAATTCCGTCGAAAATCTTTAAAAAAATAATTGAAAAAGAAAATAAATTTTGTGAATTTTTCGACGGAAAAGCAATTCCCTCGAAAAACTCTTCAAAAAAATAAAAAAGAAAGAAATTAAATATGGTTAACTTTTCGACGGAATTTTGATTCCGTCGAAAATCTTTAAAAAAATAATTGAAAAAATAAATAAATGCACGTCATGATTTCTGTAACCCAGCAGAGCTATACAAAGGAGGAGGGTGTACCTCGTTTCCCTTCTCTTCAAAAACCAAACAACTTACACCATGATTTCTAGGCAACAGGGAAATAAAGCACAAATGACTATGAATATCAAAACTATTGTAACATATATCTCAAAATTTTGGATAAGAGAAAAGCACCTGGTAATATGATGGTGAAGAGAGCAGGCCGATGGTGGCGGAGGGAGAAGAGAAGTGAGGGGCCAATGTGAACGGGGAAGAAAGGGGTAGAAGGGGAAGAGACTTATTGGAGCTAATACACTAACCACTTATCAGGTCTAATACCACCCCCTTAGACCTGATTAAGTTATACACAATTTTAATGTATTAAGGGAGGGTGTTGTATAAACTTATACTATACAATGGTCATACTAAACAACTGAAAAAGTCATAATGTATAGTATAAGTTTATACTATCAGGGCTTGTACATGATTGTTACCAAACATGCCCTATAAGTAAAGGTTACCACTACCAGGTAGAAACTTAGACTCGTTCTTTATTACTGCCAACATTGTTCACACACATCTACATCTTGACTATACGCCCTTTGACAGTGTGCAATGATTGTTACATTGGCTTAATGCTCGTACAATATCTCTCTCATAGATATTTTTGAACGCAAACATCTATCACCTACGTGTGTGTAACAGCCTGTTGTACACCAGTATTGTTAACATCAATTATGATATTAAGCGCAGTTACAATCACAGCAATTCATTTATAAAAATACGAGTAAACTTTTTCTGTTATTACGCGAGCATTTAAAACAATGAAAATCGTAATAATTAAAAGTTGTGACCGTAACTGTAAAGTCTTTGCAGAATAATTAATTACTCTAATTTTATAACTTATTTTACTTACTACAAGTGTCACTAAGGGGTTCCCATAAACCCACTTAGCTAATTCCCCACTTTTACGTTTTCTACCTATCCGAACATGGTTCGGTCTTTAATTTTCTGCGGACAAACTGAATTCGACAGGCCTCCCATATTTTGATATGTTATTCTACACTTAATTAAATTTCTAGGAAACTATCACACGAGTTATTTAGAGCACGATTGCTCCGGATATCGCCGTTTGAAGTTAGACAAGCAAAACTGCCAACCAACCCCAAAACAGCTCCAAACATCCCTCACTCCACGAATTACTGTAGAAAATGAAATCAACCAATTGCTCTCAAATTTTTATACAAAAAACTAGACACCTTAATCTTAAATTTGATATATCATACACCTAATTTTACCAATAAACGAAGCGGGAATAAATTTCCCAAAACCGCTCAAGCACTGCCACAAGTGCAGTAAGAAAATGGGTAGTCTGTGTTCCCTGCCTTCTACAGAGTTTTACCAAATTTTACCACAAGATAGAGGACATCACAAGCTTCAAAATGGCATATGGAACGTCCCTATCGGACCTCTGTGGAGGGAGATATGCTTTCCCGAAGTTCGCCTAAATTATGCCAATTTCTAGAAAATTCGCTAGAGTTTCCTTTGTTTTTACCAAAATTCCCAAATTTGCTAATGTGATCTAGGACCTCAAATGTACCTAATAATCATTGGGTGGCACACAAAAGGACCAACAATGCCTTGGGGCACTTACAACCCATCACAATTTATTTTACTTATACAATACGTATCACATTGCTTCCTTTATTAATACTTAATACGTTTCAATCATCAAAGTCCAATTGCATGCATTTGCTAATCATACATATAATCATAATCCTAAAATAGGCCTATTGTCCTTCCATCATATTACATATACTTTATAGTTACATCAACTCATGTACAATTTACCAGACTTCCCATGACATATTACAATTACAACTTTAATCTCCAAATAATGCATGATAAAGAAATCTCAAAATGACATAATCCAAATACAACTAGACTTAGGCAAAAATAGCATGAACAAATATGACCATAAATCTCATCCTAACAACATATATATAATGTTCATGCCCTAAGTCTAGCCTAGGCCCAATGGCCATCAAAATGCAAAATACTAATGATACTCCGGCAATCATCCTACGGGCTTCTTGCCCGCCGCTCCTGCACCACTGCTACCTCCTGAAATAAAGCCCTCAAGACGGGGTGAGATATACGAATATATCTCAGTAACCCAGAGGTTCCGGAGAAAACTCCGCCCAATGGCTCACTTCGATGCATATAAATAATATAAAATAACATCTTGAAAAACGAGATATAGCAAGAGATTTAGAGAAACTGGGGAACATAAGGATACAAAATACGACGAAGCTGGAATGGTCGCTACCAATACCACACAATGTCCTGCCTAATGGCTCGGCATATAAGCCTACGGGTCTCAACCAAGGCGTGTTCCTAGAACATCTAACTGAGGCACCCCTCCCATCCATATACACCCGAGACTTCCTAGTGTGCTCCTATCCGGATCACACACCACGACCCTAGGTCAACTAGAACTCCCTCTCGGAGACCTATCCAGTGGAAGTCCATAATGCCCGAAGGCAAACTGTCTACTGACCAGAGACTCGGTACATCCTATGTACCAACATACATACTAAATGCATGATCATGTTATTCTACATTACTTACATACATTTCCTACCATCACCCTCAACGGGCATGGTGGAACAGAGAAAAGGATCAAGCCCCAATACCAAGAGGTTACCTGTATAGTTCTCTTCACTTAGCTCCCAGTAATATATTCTCCGAGCTCTTTATACAGCAGAAATGCCTACACAGAGGACATTCCCAATCACTTAAAATTCATACAACACATGCAAGTTATCAATTACACAAGCATGGTTCCAATTACTCACCTCAAGCCCACTTGGTCCGGGACCAAGGGAAATCCACCGAACTCACGATTCGAGGTTCAAATCAACGTACGGCAACCTACAACAACCATGTACGAATCATCAATACACGACAAATCTATAAAAATAAGAAAACGTCAAAAATCCTCCCCTACACAATGTAGGTTCGGCCTCTATAGTGTAAATTCACAATTTATTTTTCTAAATTTTTTTTCCTCATTTTCTTAGGCATCTCTAGGTTACCTAAAGGCCATGTTAAGTGCAACTTTTCATTTTACGTCTTTCAAACGTCATTTTGCTTAATATTTTGCTCTAGGTTCCTTTACAACTCTCAACACCATCAATTTTTTCCATTGATTCTCCAACCTTTCAACCACCACATAACCCATCTAATTACCATTTAACACACAATACATTATCCAAGTAATTTCAACAACATCATTTCCTTCTTTTTCCTTAAATGGCCGAATTCAACAATGGTATACTCCAAGGAATTTCAATCAATTTTTAACTACTCCACATCTCATACAATCCTATTATATCATCATACAACCATACAACAATCCAATTACACAATCCTAACACAATTCCAAAACACAAGGTCATGGCATCCTCAAAATTTTCTAAGTTAAAAATTATATTTTTCACCAATGATTTTTATTGCATTTATGGCTCCTACACATCATTCTAAGACACATTCATGTACAAACATTTTCCATTTGAGCTCTCTAACAACACAAATCAACAAAAGCCCCTATAGGGTTCATGAAAATAAATCCTCAAATCAATCCATAAGAGGTGTTGAAATTTACCCACAATTACGTCACAAGGCTCCTCCAATTGATCCCCAAGCAATGGCTTGAGCAAACAACTCCAAAATCACAAAATCTCTCACAAAATTTGTGGCTGGTTTTGCCCATTATCTCTCAAATGAGAGGGTTTCAAGGAAAAATAATCGGTGGAACGAGTTTGGGTGGTGATTTCCATCGAAATTCAAGACAAGAATCGTCAGATTCGGTTAAGAATCGATGAAGTTAAGGGAAGAAGAAGATTTGAAAGCAAATTTCCATGGAGGAGGGAGGGAGCACGGTTTTGATGAGAGAGAAAGGAGAAAAAGATGATGAATAGTGACCCATGCCATGTGTTTAAAGGTCACTTAAGTGGGGTGGGTCCCAACGCCACCTCACACGATTTAAATTAATTCAAATCTCCCGCCAATTCCACTAAACGTCTATAATTTCATAAACTATTTAGAAACTCTAATTTTTAACATTAACCATTGTCCTTTAATTGTCCTTGATCAAATGAATCCGGAGTTTTTCGGTCGTTCGGAGAAATCGCAGTTTTAAGCTGTTGCGCACGCAATAGGCATGCTTCCCCAAACTTACTTATTTCCATCAATTTTAATAAGAAATCATATTTTCTAGTTCTATAAAACATTTATAACTTGTATTCAAAACCTAGAGCTCGAAACTCAATCGGCACGTTTTACGGTGCAACTGTACCGCAATATTTTTACCGGTAAAAACACTATTCACTGAATTTTCTGAAACTTGCCTAACCACTCAATTTTTCGTTCTGAATCCATTTCCAGGGTTATTTTTATCATCTGAGACCTTCTACTCAACTTTTATCTTCCTAAGGTTGCGACTTTTTAAACAAGAAACTGGATTAGTCGGGTCCATTAAAATTTCGTAGACCAATTAATATCTACCAAAAAAAAAGTTGCGACATTTTAAATCGAAAATCCCTTAACTGTGCTACATCATTCTGTACTTGTGATCAATCATTACAATTAATTATGGTTATAATTTTTGGGTGCAAATTTTCTGCAACGACTGCACGACTTTATTGGGTGCAGCAGACACAAGCAAGTGAGTCCCACTTTATTTTTTTAAAAAGAAAAAACCAGGACCCGCAACTGTATCCTAATGTTATTGCAGAAGTTTCTTTTTTGCAGTGACATGAGAGCTATAAAACCCATAATTTATACACCAGAACAAACAAACAATATATATATGCTTTGGATTTAGGGTACGAGTTAGTGTTGAGTTGTATATTTTTTATAATTGGAAAGATTTAATTTCTAATTTGATTGACCAATTTATGTAGCAATTAAAGGGAATCTATTACATGGAGAGATTATAGGAATTATGTGGAGAGATTTTAGGAGTTTTAATTTCTTAATTATTTGTAATTTTCTTCCTTGATTTATGGCTAATTTGTAGCCTGATTTATGACTGATTTGTAACTCTAATACTTTGAGTAGAATGACCTCTATTAAGGTAGAAGAAATATGAATGAATTACTATTCTATAGAGTTCCTTGATTTGTAAAATGGTATCAAAGCCTCTATTCTAATCCAGCAAAAGGACTGCGAAATTAGTCTCACATGTATCTATACTTGAAGTGTAATTATGAAATCATCTTCACCTTTCTTTCATTATTCTATTCTCCCTTGCAAAGCAATGACCACTATCTCTGATGAAAGTCCCCAACAGCCCACTACCAATGCTGCTTACTCGGGTATTGTTGGTAAAACTCTTATTTTCCCTGCATGTTCTAGAGATAATATTTGGATAATTGACACTAGGGCTTCTGATCATATCACAAAGGATTTTTTTTTTTTTTTGTAAATACAAAGGATTTTAGTAAGTTGCATTATTTTTTCCCTTCTTCCCAATCATTTATTTCTACTGCTAATGATAATACCTCTTCTATCACTAGTAAAGGATCTCTTATCATGTCTGAATATCTTCATTTGACTTCTATTTTAGTTCTCCCTTCCATTGAATATAACTTACTTTTCATAGTACAACTTACTAATACATTGAATTGTACTGTCACCTTTTGGCCCTCATTTTGTGTGTTCCAGGATATTTCCACCTGGAAGACTCTTGACTATAGTGTTAAGCAGGACAAACTTTATTATCTGGATGTTACCGAAAAGAGAAAGAATAAATTGGGAGAGGTCAATCATGCCAGTAGTGAAGATAAGGCTCAGGAAATAATTTGGCTTTGGCATAAAAGATTAGGACATCTCTCTTTTGGCTATTTGAAAATATTACATCCAAGATTGTTTTTAAGTTTGAATATTGATGATTTCTATTGTAATACATGTGAACTAGCAAAAAGCCATCGTATTTCCTATTTTCCTAGTAGTAATAAAAGTTCAATTCCTTTTGAAGTTGTTCACTCGGATGTTTGTGGACCGGCTGGTGTCCCTTCCCTATCTAAAGCTCGATACTTTGTGACATTTATAGATGAATGTACTCGAATGACATGGGTCATGTTGTTACATAAGAAAAGTGATGTATGTACAACCTTCCAAACTTTTTACCGAATGGTAGCCACTCAATTTCAATGCCAGATCCGAATTTTGAGGTATAATAATGGGACCAAATATACAGATAAATCTTTTGCGCATTTCTTGAATCACCAGGGGATTAGACATCAGACCTCTTGTACTTATACACCACAACAAATGGTTTGGCCAAAAGGATGAATAGACAACTTTTTTTTGGTAACCGATGAATAAACAACTTATCGAGGTTGTTTGTGCCTCTCTCTTTGGCATGAATATGCCCCATTTTTAGTGGGGTGAAGTTGTTCGCTCTACTGCTTATCTAATTAATCGTACCCCTTCTAGTGTCATCAAGTTTGTGACTTCGCAATAGAAGTTTGAATCACTACTTTCAGTTCCCCACATTCCTAATCTCGAGCCTCGTGTGTTTGGCTGCACTATTTATGTCCATATTCCCAAAGTAATGCGTAACAAACTAGATCCATGTGCTAAAAAGTGTGTTTGTTGGTTACTCTGATGTTCAGAAAGGATACCGATGTTATGATCTCCAACAACAAAAAGTATATATCACTCTAGATGTCTCTTTTCGGGAATTTGAACCTTATTATTTAAGGGGAGTTTCTGGGTCTCCTATTTAAGGGGAGAAAGTTACTATAAAGAGCAAGACCAATTAGCCCCCTTGAATGGAGGAGGAACTGAAGCAACACATACAGGTGTAGAGAATGTTGAAGTCTTACACTCTATGTAACAGCCTATTACGTACCCGTGTTGTTAACATTGATTACGATATTAAGCGCTGTTACAATCACAGCGATTCATTTAAAAATGCGAGTAAACTTTTTCATTTTCATTACGTAAGCATTTAAAAACAATAATAAAATGTAATGATAAAAGCTGTGATCATAACTGAAATCTAAATGCAAAATAATTAAAATAATTACCTAACTATCATACAATTCTTATCTTAAGTCACTAAGGGGTCCCCATAAATCCACCTAGCATAATTCTCACATTTACGGTTTTTACATAACTGAACATGATTTAGTCTTTTGAACACTGTGTCATATCCGCATGCTACAAACCTCTCATCTTTTAGTATATTATTCTAGACTTAATTACCTTTCTAACAAGGTATCACACACTCCATAAAGTTCTAATTTGCTCCGATTATCGTTGTTTGAAGTTGGACAAGCAAAGCTACCAGCCAACCCCAAACAAGACACCAAACATACCTCACCATTTCTGCGATTATGAACAAACCACTCCAATAATTACTCAAAAATTTTATATAGTAAACTAGACACCTTAAGCTTCGATTTGACATATCATGGACCTAATTTGACCAATAAATGAGGGAGAAATAATTTTCTCAAAACTGCCACCCGACAGCCCCCATGTGCAGGGCATTCTGAACAATCCTCACTCAAATTCGTCTACAGGTATGTTCACAGATCCAGTTGCTACCAAAATTTGACACAATATATTTGACATTTCAAGCTTCAAAATGATGTATAGCAAGTCCCTATTGGACCTCTATGGACGGAGATATGCTCTCCCAAAGTTAGCCTAAAATCCGCCATTTTATTATAAATTTTGACAGCACCTCCTTTGTTTATTCAACCTATCCCACTTTATCAAAAGTGTGTTATTATCATCAAATTGTACCTAATAGACAAGGGTGGCACTCAAGCACCAACAATGTCTTGTGCTCTTACAACCCACAATAAGATACCATATTCTCATCCATTTATGATTCTTTACTTACTTTATCAAAGCT